CTGAAAGAATATAAGAAAGTTTAAAAATAATATACACTAATAGTTTCTATATCTTATGATGAAAAATGAAAAACATATTTAAGCAACTAAAACTCAATTTAATTAAAAATTAGTAACACTTATTTAATTTCATAAGTTTTATTCAAATAACAATACTACAAAGGTCGACCAATGTTAAAAATAACCCCTTGATTTAAAATATATATATGTATATGTATATGTATAATCATTTCCCCCAACACTCCACCGGTCACCTTCCCTTCATCCACCCTCATTGAAAAATAATAAATTTAAAATTTACAATCAACAAGAAAGACAAAGACTAAAACAAGCATTAAAAACCAAAAATAATCCAAATGAGATAAAAATAAGAAATTAAGACACAAAGCAAAAAGATCGAGGACAAGAAATCAAAGCAATCTTGATAGGACATAAAGAAAAACAACAGTTTAGATACAGAAAAAATAAGAAAAATCATCAAAAAGAAAAACACCCATAAAATGGTGACGAAACACCATTTTAATTAAACTTAACCAACTGATGTGATGCAATAATGGTAAGGGCGAGACAAATTAATAAGGTGGTTAGATGGTCGCTAGAAGTAATAGATTTTGACATGAAGGTAACAAAGAAACAAATACTTGCATACTACACTACAGTCTCATGATTAATGATCATCAACAACATGTACACAGTCTTCGTAATGAGGTATCTCATGCCCAGCTGTATGCATCGATATCAACAACACAACGGACTTCGCCTACCACCTAGCCTCCACCAGCCTCATATTGTTGACTAGGTAATTACTTTAATACTTTAACTTTTCCTAGCTACTTCTTCTCTTCGCTAGTTAATTATTTTTGCGGTCGGAAGTTAGAGATCGATGATTTGAGTATGGGGAGAGGTTAATTATCATCATATGTGATAACTCCTCTGAATTTTGTACATAATTTTTTTTCCCAATTTGTCAATGGCAACTTTGAAAAGTCAGACAATAAATAAATTAAATTTAGAAAGATTTTCAGTTATGATTTCATGGATCAATTATTATATATAACCATTCCCCTGATGATATCATCATAAAATTTCTAGAGCATAATGTGTTTCATAATCAAGCAATACTACGTTAATATGATTTTTGGATTTTATCAATTATATTATATATATTAATTATTTTTGAGCATTTTTAAATATCAAACAAAAATTGAGCAATATTGGTTAGGTTTTTAAAATACTAGTGTGATATTTTAAAGCTTCTTGGTGTTAAGCCGTTGGGCAGAAAGCAATTAAAGCATGTCGTGGGTCGGTCGGCCTATATCCCAACTCTTTTCCACCCAACACGCATACATCTCCCTTGCCCTCCAAACCAATTTTTCTTCTCATTATTTGGTCATTTTTTTTTTTTATAAATTAAAACAAAGATTTATTAATTTCCTTCTCAACTGTTACCGCCCCTAATTGCTAATTTTCCACATTGCTAGAGTTTCACATGTGTATTGTTTTTGAATTCACTTAAAATCAGTTGATGCAGGATGCATGATAAAACATTAATTTATTTCAAACAACACTTGATAGAGCCAGAATGGACTAAATTATTGGGTTCCGGGAACAAGATAATACGAATAAATTTGTGCACAACTCACCTATGATTTTTATTTAATATTTTATTTTCATCCACAATTTTTAAAACTCAAATCATCTACGACTTTTGAAAATGTTTTAAATTTATTTATTTCATCCACCGATCATTAAAATTTGATGAGCTATACCATCTCAGAGCCACATATATCTGTCCACTTGCATGTCCATGTGGCGAAAAAAATGGGTTTCTTTGATTTTTTGAACTAAAGTTTATGTAACATGAATATCGACATGATATTGATGTGAAATATTTTATTAAATTTTTAATAATGATTAATACAAAATTTGAAATATTTTTAAAAAAATCATAAATGAAAAAAATTAAACTTTAAAAATCATGAATTAATGAAAATAAATATTACACAAATTAAGGTAATGAAGTTTTATTTATTAATATTAAGGTCTGATTTAATATTGCATATAAATATAAAACTAATGCATTTTGCATATTGCATTGCTAGAAAAATAAAGTTCACCTCAAAAAAATAAAAAGCAAGTTATGTATTTAAGTGACACATAAAATGAAGTTAAAATTTAATTCAGTTGATTCGTGTATTTATTTTTAAATGATATTTAATAAATTTAAAATTTAAATTTAAGCACCTTCAATCTAGTAACTGATTTAAGATATTATTTTGGAGTGTTCTCTATTTATAATATATATAAAAAATTATCAAAAATTTTTTTAATTTTATTAAAAGAAAAATTGCTCGAGAAAATTTTTGAAGTGTTTAAAGAAAAATATTTTCTTTAAAATTTTTTATTTGGTGTCCTAGTAATACATGTGGATCAGCTTTTAAAATTTTTTTTTTTTAATTTTCAGACTGCAACCTATTATAAAAAATAAAAAAAGTGGCATGTAGAATTCTCATTATCTCCTTTGATGCATTTCCTTTTTCTCAGCTAATTCACGTTTTTTGGCTGAAAAGTATGCATACTCCATTTGAATTTAAGAGCTAACCAATTAAGCTTGTAGGATTGAAACCCAAGGATCATAAGTGTTTTTTTTTTTTTGGCCAAAAGGATCTTAGGCTTATTACACTTTTCATTATTCTTTTTTAGTGCATTAATTAGAAATAAAAATCACGTCCTGCGTAAAAGAAAATTTTGCATAAATCATTCTTATCATATCAGTTATAGACTCAATAAACTGAAATATGAAATATCATTAAAAATATTTTAATATCATGGTTTAACTATTTGATTATAATTGCTAGATTAATATAATTGAGTGACTCATGATGATAAATGACACATCTCATGAGACATTTTACTGAATTTATCGTGCTAACGGTATAATGTAATAGGAAGGTTTAGGTAAAACTATTTTCATCTGCCTATAATGTCTTCGCTTCATAGGCATTATTTTTGAGCATTTAGTTGGTACCAAATTTCAATTCCAAGTGAATGAATTTAGCAGATCTCGGTGGTTGCTGGTTGAAGTTATTATTATTTTTAATGTCATGGCAAGAGTCTCTAGCCTACTTTACTGAACTTGATTTATTATGTTCCACTAAAAATTCAAATGCAAATTGCTCGTATTAGTAACTTGAACTCTTGTACATAAACCATCTCTATCATATATCCAATTATCCATAGATTAATTGGTTAATTTGAATTTAAAATCTCTAATCATTTCAAGTAAAGAGATTATCAGAATATCATTCATGATAATTGTCACAATCAAGGTTTAATTAAGAATGATTACCTAATTTAGACAACCAATGGGTTAGAATTTGATTAATTGGATAGTAATTGTAAAGATATCGTGCAGCACATGAGAATCAAAGCATAGTTTCTCCGTTTCACTTTGCTTTGCCAAGAGATTTTATTGTATTTTTCAATAGAATTGAGTATCTAAATACAATCCCTTTAGTCATAGGATCTCTTCCTCTTCTTCTTTGCATCTATTAATAAAATGCAAATTTTTTTTTTTAGGAAATTACAAGTGTAAAAGAAGCTACGATAATAATAATAATAATCAAGAATTACATGTATAAAAAATTATTAAATAATTAAATAAAACAAACCAATTAATAAATTAAAATATAAAATTGAATCAAACTCACATATATTAAGATTTCAATCTGAATGATGAACTTCTAATGTCATAAAAAAACAAACCAAAAGAAAAAATACTTGTTAAGAACCTGAAAAAACTAAAAATGATGAGAAAAATAAAATCTGATAATTGAGGAAACATTACAAGTTGGTCCTTACCACAAACTTAAACCCTATCTATCCCCCTCTTCCAACCACACGAGGCATTCATTAGACGAAATTTATTAGGTTAAATTTGTGAAGTTTTTAATTTAAAATAATTTAATACAAATTTTAATAAAAATTTTAAATTGATAATTAATAGAATTCAAAGAAAAAATTAATAATATGTGAAAAATGTTTAAAAAATTTATAATATAAATTTGATTTATATTTATTTAACAGTAAAAATTATGATAAAATTTTTATTAAAAATATTTATTAGAAAATTATATCAAAATTTATTAAAATATTTTAAAATTTTTACACTTAATATATGTAATAATATCTTTTAATTTAATTATTTTTAATAAAAAATTTAATTAATTTTACTTTAAAATTTTAATTAAAAATATTTTTTAAAAAATATTTAGGCCATCACTGGAAACTACAGCTGGTGCCCAGTTAGAACAAGAGAAATGAGAACACGTTGAGAACTTAGTCTTACAGAGTCACGATTGATGACTGCCCAGAACTATCCGTCGTGGCAACTATTAAAAAGTCAAGGGTAATAGACGAAAATATTAAAAAATAATCATGATAATAAAATTAATTATTATTATAATAAAATTAGGTAACGGAATGATTATATTGAAATTAATGAAAATATATATATTGAGAAACAAATATAATGGTAGTGATGAGATTAAATATAATAAAAAATATCATTAAAAATATTAAATTAAATTTATAATATATTTTTGAGAAGTCAATAAATAATTAAAAATTATTAAAATTATTTAATATATATTACATTAAAATTTGTATATAATAAAATTTATTATATGTTAATATTTTTTAAAGTTAATAAATAATAAAAAATTACTAATAAAAATGACAACTTTATATGATTTATTTTTTAAATAATTTATTTTATTACACAAGTGATAAAAATATTAAATGCTTTTTATAAACATTGATAAAATTAATTAATAATAATAAGTAATAAGAAAAAAAAAGATATTAAAAATAATATAAATGTAGATCGGAAGTAACATAAAATATGTGGATTCCACATCCTCTTTATTAGGCTTTTTGAATTTAAGGCTTTTAAATTGATTGAATTGAGTTATATTTAAGGGTATTTGAGAATTTCTGTCTTCAATCGTAGGTTAGCAATTTTCACTGATCTCTTTAACTCTGGTGACAATTGAGGAACGTGATGCAGTTAAAAAATTCCAATTACCCATCCAAACAGCTTTCGTTGGTGCGAAAATATCTTTAATTGTACCGCTATGGTTCTGAAATAGAAACCAAAGGTGCCCTAAGAGATTTAACTGTATTTTTTGTTTTATCAGCAACGTTGGTTTTTCCTTGAAGCTATAAGTAGGACATCTCAACTTACAATTATAAAGGTCTTAGCCGTTTTGAGTCCTGAAGAGAAGCCCAAAAGAGAGAAAAGAGAAATTAGCTTGTGAGGCTCCAAGAAAACTATTTCTCCTTCTGTCTCTCTCTCTCTTGCTTCAAATTTTGGTCACTATATTTGTTAAAATTTGTTTGAGCTGAGAGGCAAAACCTCAAAAAAATATACATAGTTTAAAATTAGAAAGAACAGAGGAAAGCGGGGAAGCTCTGTTAGGAAAATGGTTGCACCTCTATCAGCTTGGCCTTGGGAGAACTTGGGAATTTTCAAGGTACGAAACATTGCAGCCTTGATGTATTTTTTCTCTTTCCAAAGTTCAAATTTGGTCAATCTATATTTGTTGGTTCTTTTTTTATTATTCTTTTTTTCCAGATGTAATATTCCTTCCATTTTCTTCCTCTCTCTCTCTTTCTCTGCCTCTTTTCTAATGTACTGATATCAGTTTTTCTTGAAATTTTTTCTCGTGTGTGCCAAAGTATCTGCTATACGGCCCTTTAGCTGCAAAAGTTTTGTATTCATGGATCTATGAGGATGCCATTAAGGATATCTGGTGTCTTCATATACTCCTTTTATGTGCTTTGAGAGGACTCGTTCATCAGCTGTGGAGCTCTTACAATAACATGCTTTTCCTTGCTCGCAATCGCCGTATTAAGCAGCAAGGAGTTGATTTCAAGCAGATTGACAAAGAATGGGACTGGTAAAACATAAAATGTCTTCTAGACTGTACGATCATCTAAATTCTGCTTACAATAATTCCAACAATATCATCTGATTTACTAATTCTCTTGTTCATTTCTTTGTACTCCTTCAGGGACAATTTCATTATTCTTCAAGCTCTGTTGGCTTCCATGGCCTGCTTGATCTTCCCATCCTTGGATGGCCTTCCTCTCTGGAACCCAAAAGGATTTTTTACTCTACTGTTACTGCATTTAACAATTTCGGAGCCCTTATTTTATTCGGCGCATAGGTTTTTCCATGAAAGCTACCTTTTCACCCATTATCATTCACTTCACCATTCATCCTCCGTACCCCATCCCTTTACAGGTAAAATCACTGACGTAAAACTCATCTCTTTCTTAATATATATATATTTTTTCATTTAAATTAAGATCAACTTCTTATAGTAAATGCAAGCAACTTGCAAACATCCCATCGTCTACATTTATTCAATTTTAATTCTTGCTGCTGCAGCTGGACATGCAACATTTTTAGAGCACCTTATATTATGTATAGTGATCGGAATACCGATGACGGGGTCTGTTCTAATGGGGTATGGATCAACAAGCATGATTTATGGCTATGTTTTGGCATTTGATTTTCTTAGATGCCTGGGACATTCCAATGTTGAAGTTGTTCCCCATGAAATTTTCAACAAGTTACCTTTCCTCAGATATTTTCTCTATACCCCCACGTAAGTAATACCCCTTCTCTCATACTCACGCAATCAATGTGCTGTACCGAAATTCCATTCCTGAGATTAAAAAAAAAAAAAAAGACATTGAACATATTCATGAATGATTCCCTAAAACTTTCGTTCCTGTCTAGTTTCTTACTAGCTTCTATACTTGAGTCTATCTTTAGACTGGGAAATTATATGTTAATTAATTTAAGTGCGACCTTTCTCTGTTTCTCACTTGTTAATGTGCTATTGGCAGAGCAGGACTTTTATGGTTGACAGCTAGAGTATAGGTTATTTAAGTAATTGTCGAAAAACTTGAAAGCACCATGTAATTGAGAAGGAAAGCTCAGTTGGAATTTTCCTCCGGAAAGTAAGTTTAGTTTTGGGAAACTAGGCAATGGAGTTAGATCATAACTATATAGATGCAAGGATAAATGTTAAAAGTTACTACTACAAATTGGTTCTTCTTGAATAATGTGATTTCATTAACTAAATATTATGGCAAAAATAGCAGCTTATCTGCTGTACTTGCAATTCTCCTTCCCTTATCCTTTAAGCTTCAATTTTTTTTTCAACTAGGAAAAAAACAGCCGCTTGTCCATTATCCTTTGTAACTCTTTGTCAATGCTTGTATTTATAAAACGTGGATCATTCCTAATTGGTACCATTAATTTCTGTATAGACGAGGTAGCTAGCATAATAATCAAAATTTTGTATTTTTTGTATTATATTCTTTGTTCATTTTTTTTCAAAATTATATATTTTTTTAACACCTAAAATTTTTATTTTTTATATTTTAAAATTATATTTATGATTTTTTTATTTTTAACATTAAAAATCATAAAATTTTAAATTTAATTAAATACATTAAAATTAAGGTTTTTTTTTTGGCTTAAAGTCGTAAAAATCAAAGAATCCAAAATAATTTGAGATAGAGGAGTACTTTTCAATCACATAACTTGCAACTTGCAATGAATTTAAGTAGAACTTATTTTGAAAGAAAAAAGTATTTTTTTTTTTTTTTTGCTGTTGGACAAGGAAGTGGGCCACATTTACTCTTTAGAAAAATGTAATGATTTTGCAATTTTCGGACGGTTTTGTAATTTTTCAGGTACCATAGCCTGCACCGCACAGAGATGGGGACCAATTTCTGTCTCTTCATGCCGCTGTTTGACGCAATAGGGAAAACACTTAACGCCAACTCTTGGCAGCAACACAAGAAAATAAGTTCAGATTCAGGTAGTAGCAGTTCTTTGTCTGGTTTTTGTAAAACCTTCAAAACTTTTTCCATACGATTATTAGAAATTCTTCTTTCAAGAACCATTGGACTAAAAACTATAATGATTCAAGTGCATGACGCTGAAAATTACAGTGAATGCATGATCTAATGATAAATGGAGGGGTTAGTAATGATGTTGGAGAAATTAACTTGGAATTTACGATTAATGCAGAGAAAAAAGGGAGGGTACCAGATTTTGTGTTCCTAGCACATGTGGTGGACGTAACCTCGGCGATGCATGTCCCATTTGTCTTCAGATCTTTCGCATCAATACCATTTTCCACAAGGATATTTCTAGTTCCTATGTGGCCTGGAACTTTTATAGTTATGCTAATGATGTGGGCTAGGTCTAAGACATTTCTCCTCACTTTCTACAATCTTAGAGGCCGTCTGCACCAGACATGGGTCGTTCCTAGATTCGGCTTTCAGGTTTGCTATTAACTTGAAATAAAAAGTTTGGGCAAACTTCTTGTTGCAAACTGTATCTGTATGTATTGATTAATTAGAGAGCCAATTAATGATCTAGGCCATTACAATTTTTGCAGTATTTCTTACCATTTGCAACGGAGGGCATTAACAAGCGCATAGAGGAGGGCATTCTAAGGGCCGATAGGATGGGGGTCAAGGTCATTAGCCTTGCTGCATTGAATAAGGTCGGTATTTTTTTTTTTTCTTAATTATAGTTTTTCTTTTTGAACTTTGTAGACTTTTGGTCTGTCTTCCAACATTAAAAAAAAAAAAATTGTCACTATGTATCAGATGGTTTTTAATTGGGCCCTGGAAGTTATCAGATGATGGTAGTTGAGAGGAATAAATATCAGAAATGAATTAAACCCATCTCCTTCATTTAAAATCTGTCTGGAGTCTGGACCTCTCTCTGCATTTCTTGACACCATTTCTGGGAGTGTACTATCTCTCTGGTACTTTAGTATCTGTCAAAGCATCTCATCACTATCTTTTAATCTTTTTGTGTTTCAGCACGCCTCCCAAAGATGCAAACTGATAGATTATATATTTGCGTTTATAGATTTCAGAAAGGCTACATCACAAGTTCTACATCATGCATTCATTATCCCACAACCATATTTGCTCGGTCTTTAAAACTATCTTTCAACTGAAGAACATCCTTTTCGAGAGCCTGTCACAGCCAGAAATTCAGTGTCCTCCAATATGACTATATTTTATATTTTTCCCCCTTTTTCTACGGTTAAAACTTTAAACGGGCATATATATAACTCTCAAACCGAAGTGACCCTTTATAGAAAAAAGTGAAATAAGGGGTAGGCTTATTGTGATTATAATCATCAATTATGGTCATAATTAAAATTTGAATTTAGACTTTTTTCATGCCTTGTAAGTCATAATTTGTGAATGTAGAATCTCTAAACGTTCTATATAAACAGAACAGATATGCATGCATATGTGGCAAAACATGACTATTTTTACTACACAAAATCCTCAACCAATGCCTAGAGCAGGGGCTTTATGCATGTCTATGAAATTAATAAATGATAATCTTTGTTAGGTTTAACTATTCCATCAGTACTGCAAAGAATAATCAATTCAAACTACCAACATAACATTGTAATCGGGGCTACTACTCAAGGCATTAGCCCCTTTCTTTGTTGATCATACTGAGAAATAGTTAAAGACTTAAAAGGCATTTAGCTATTACACCAAATTTTATTGTTCTTGCACAATGATGTCGACAAAAATTTGCTGAGTTAAAAGAAGACGAAATTGGTTTAACTTGGTCTGCAGAATGAGTCTCTGAATGGAGGAGGAACACTCTTTGTTGACAAACATCCTGACCTTAAAGTCAGAGTCGTCCATGGCAACACCTTGACAGCTGCAGTTATTCTGAATGAGATTCCTACGGATGTGAAAGAAGTGTTTCTAACAGGAGCTACTTCCAAGCTCGGTCGAGCAATTGCCCTCTACCTCTGTCGAAGGAGAGTGCGCGTTCTTGTAAGTCTTTAATTTAACTCTCATCACCCGCTACACTCTCTTCATTAATTTTGCCACCACAAAATTTGATCAAAATATAGCGATATTTTTTAGTTAATATGTTGATGATTGCAAAGCTTAATGCTGGCACTACACGTGATTCAACATCTTCACAAACTGAAACAGTATTATTATATTCTGGATTTGCATGCTAAGTTGAAATTCATATGTGATTCTCATAAATACTAATACTAGAAGTAGATCTGCTCTTTTCATTTCCAAATTAATTTTGTGGGGTTACTTACCTAATTTACTATTGGTAACGTTTATTTGCTGGCTTGGGTTTGATCGAAACATCAGTATATTCACTTATTGATCGTACGATGGAATTAATTATAGCCAATTATTTACAAGTGAAATTTCAAATTTCCGGTCCAAATCAACATAGTTTGTTGGATTTCAAACAAAATCAAATATAGATTTCAAGAAATTTCACAGAATTCTTGTATTTGGTACCAGTCACAACATAGCAAAACGGAAGAAAACAGCAAAATTAAAGGACTATACAACAACTGTTTCATTTTTTCAATTTCATGCATATAAACACGGCCTCGGGGGTATATTGCTAGATCTAATGCTAACAATATTGCATCTCTTAAACTATGATCCTGAATTTACTTGATGGTTGTGGGCCTAACTGGGGGTTAATGCCCTGTTAAATTAATTGCTTATGGCTTAGACATACTGTGCAGATGTTGACTTTATCTGCCGAACGATTTCAAAAAATACAAAAGGAAGCCCCTGCGGATTGCCAAAACTACCTCGTCCAGGTGACCAAGTACCATGCTGCTCAAAATTGTAAGGTATGATATACTTCGCTCATTGAAACAACAATATTTTCAAGTAATTGTAAGTGACTTGTTATTGATTACAGTTGAAGTTTAAAAAGAAAAACGTGCAAAAAATGAATGCTCGAACATAGGTGAAGAAAAGAAGAATAAATATAAATAGTAAACATTGATTGAATTGTTGTTATGAAATAGACATGGATCGTGGGCAAGTGGATAACACCAAGGGAGCAAAGTTGGGCTCCATCCGGAACACATTTTCATCAATTTGTGGTACCACCCATTCTGGCCTTCAGAAGAGACTGCACATACGGTGATCTTGCAGCCATGAGGTTGCCTTATGATGTTGAAGGCCTTGGATGTTGTGAGGTGAGCACCAATCTTCTCATTAATCATTTCTGGTCTCTTATTAGCAACAATATTTTGTTCACATAGTTTCTCTCAAGTTAAGTTATAGTCCTATTAGTAAGTATAAACATAATTTCGACTATTTGTTTCAATAGTAAATGTATATTTTTCTCTTAAAAAATTAGATTTGAATAGTTTTTTGTCTTAAGTCAAATTAAAAAAACACAAAATTAGAAACAAAAAAAAGCTATTTGCATGATACAAATATAAAATGTGTGACTACCTGGTTGTTACAAGAGAGAAGATTTTTACAATATATAAATATATTTCATTTTACCTTTCCCTCAAAGAAGATTGGAAATCCATAATTTAAGGAATTTGTTCACTGAAGAAAAACTTTTTTTTTCTTCTCTAGCCACTCTACACATGCAATGGCCGTGACAAAAGAAACTAGTGTCACTTAATCTTTCCTTCAAATGTATGGTTAGCTGATAAACTCTTTAACTTTTTGGTGGATGTTGGGACAGTACACCATGGAGAGAGGAGTTGTTCACGCATGCCATGCAGGAGGCGTGGTTCACCATCTAGAAGGCTGGACTCACCACGAAGTTGGGGCAATTGATGTCGACAGAATCGATCTTGTCTGGGAAGCTGCTCTCAAGCATGGTTTGAGGCCAGTGTCAAGTGTAAACATTAATACCATGAAGAAAGAATAAAAAATTGGATATGAAAATTAAAACATATTTGGTTGTAACAGGTCTTTTTGTTTTCTTTCTTCTTTTATGAGACGGTGTTTGGACCCAAACAAATATGTTTGAGTTACAACTAATGATCACATAAAGTACTTTCATGTAATATGTACTAAATACAATATTGATTTATGCCATAAGTACCTTGATTAAGCAAAGGCATAGTTATAAGTTTGATTCGCAAATTGCAATTGCACGTCTTTATTTTACAATGAACTTTGTTATTCCAGATTAAAGAAATGTTTGATTAATGCCAATTTCAATTCAAGTCCCCTATTTCTCCAAAGAAAAAAAAAAGGATGAATTCTTAAAATTTGGAGTGGTAAATGTTAGGATCAAAATTGGAACGGCCATGATACGATTAATCCGAATGGCATTGTCTAATTTTCCATTGTACTATATAAATCAAAGTGTTTCCCATCATTAATTAGTAAAACGTTACCAAAGTGTTTCTGGTCAGTTATATAGAAGAATCTTTCAATTATTGTAAGTTTCCATTGAAATTAATTGTATGTCCATCTTCATCATTTTCTAAACAGTAATATCATCTCAACATCACAGTTAAGTAGTATTTCGTATTAATATATATATTACTTGCTTTCGAAGAAAATTATGGCTAGTACCAATGAAAACTTAGTATATTAGTAGGTATTTTTTTGCTTTAAAAGATCTGGCTCCACGGGAAGAAAAGGCGCGTTTGGTAGGGTTTTAGTTTTAGTTTTATTTTATTTTTTGAAAACAACAATAGAAAACATGTTTGAGAACATTTTTATATATGTTTTTAAGAAACAGAATAAGAAAAAAAAAAGAATTTTTAAAATTGTTGGAAATAAGTATTTTTTGTTTCTATGGTTTTCATAAATATATTTTTATTTCTAACACTATTTTTAAGTGAATAGTATCTAGGAATTAGTATAACATGCATGATATTACCTTTAATCTCGTGCGAGGGTAAAATTTTTATTTTTATATTATTAATTTGTTATATAAATAGTTACATTATTACAGAAGATAAAATTATTAATTTATAAATAAAAAACAGCATTTTAACATTGAGTTTGAAAATTTTAAATATAATTTATTTAGTTTAATAAAAAAACTTTTTGGTATTGAGTAATACGTGAAAATATATAAAAGTTTTATTGATAAAATTGTAATTGTTTTGAGTTTCATACTTTCATTCATGAGTTTTTTTAGTAAAATGTAATAACCTTTATTTATTATTTCAAAATAAGTAATTCTACTCAAATTTTCAATCGATTTATTGTTCTTTTGGATGCATCGGGCCTTAGATGGGAGGTTGGTTGTCATCTTTTTTCGTATTCACCGTTGGTTGAGACCTAAATACGTCTCTGGCACGGTGTGGTTGATCGCACCATTATTTTGTTTTTCATTTTTGCCCCCTAAGTTTTAATGTTAACCCAGAAAAACCCTTGAACTTATTTTTTATTTTAAATTTTTATTATATAATAAATAAATAAATAAATTTTATTTTAGTTTTTATTATTAATTTTTAATAATTTATTAATTTTAATATTATTTTATATAAAAATAATTTAATATTTTTTAATTATTTATTAATTTTATTAATGTTAAATAATCTAAAATTTTTATTACATTAAATTTTATTCTAATACTCTTAATAGTTATTTTCTCATCTATCTACAATTCATCTTACTATCACAATTGTTTTTATCTCCAAACACGTATCACACTTCTAAATTTAATCTTATCATAATTAATCTTACCTCCAATGTCATTTTCATTCTCATTATTACCATAATTAATCTCATCTCTAATACTGTTTTCAATTTTACTGAAATTAGTCTTGTTGCTTATCCACGTAGACCTTTAATAATGAACAATATTTTCTTTGAAATGGCTAAATATATTATAAAGTTAATTATTTAAGTAGTTAATAAATTTTTTTTACATATTTTAGCATTTGATTTTTTTTGTAAATAAACAAAAAGTAGTAGTTATTGTGAATGCTGTGAATTTCACCCTTTTACTCCCTCCAGTGTTAATCCAAGGATTGATTATGGGTTGCAAATCGACCTATTTATACTTTAAGAATCATTACGATTTTAAGACCACAATGTTGTTTATACCAAATACCTTGGTTCGGATATTGAATATGAAATATTGGAGGAATTAAAGCTCCAAACTCCGTCTAGGATACATCTAGCCTTTATTTTCCACATCAGACGAGAACTCGTTTGATTTTCGAATCAAAAAGCATATCTTATCGTTTAAATCCTAATACCATACTATTGTAAACAATTTAATGTCCTGTACTATCATGCTTGCGTATAAAGAGATTCAAATAAGTTGACAACTCCCTATGATCTATCTACCATTAAATAATGCAATCAAAGTAAAACAGTTTACGCTTGTAATTCAATCTAAGAAAATAAACAGAGAAACGTAAGGTAAATGATGAAAATGACATAATCGACACCCTATCTTTTCCTATTTCAATCCATCTCAATTTATTCTCCTAAAAGCTTCCTTCCTAACCTCACACTCACCACCTGTTTGACCAAAATCTCTAAAAAGCTGCTCCAAGTCTCCACTGCTCACAGTAGCCTCATACTTGTATGCCTTAGCTCCTTCATACACCAGCCACTTCCAAGCCGTTTCGCCTTTACCAATCAATTATATTTTACTGTTGAGAGCTGAATATAGGAGGGCTGATTTTGGTCTGATTACTAGTCCTGTCAAAATGTGTCCAGGGGTTCTTCTGTATAAACATAGGTTAATCTGAAGATGCTATGTAGGAGGGAAAGATGGAGAGTTTTCGGGCAGCATTCTATAAGCCAGAGAGATCAGCAACATTAGTAATCTAATGCAAATTTCTAGGGTGACATTGTCAATGTTTACATTCCTGCTAAAAGAAATGTTTGAGGTTAAAGGTATGGGTTTATCAGTTTTACGAATGTTAAGGATATTGAGTATTTACTTGTAGCTTTGAATGGTATCTTGATTGGTACTTGTAAATTTAAAATTTTCAGCACTAAAGGAATGTCTAATGTTTTAGACCTAGTTCAACATGCAAGGATTGCCAAGTTTAGAGAACCCAGTAATACGCCTGAGGTCCCTCTCAACAATTGCAAATCTTATGCAGAGCTGGTCAAAGGTATGTGGCAAGAAAATGTATATGACTCTAGTAGCCATAAAAAAAGCTTATCGGAACCTAGAGTAAAGAAAATTGATGATTCTTGCATGGTTGGTAGGGAAAGAGTTAATAAGAGCTTAGTTTTTGTTTCTTATGGTGTTGCGTATAAATCATATACAAGTCTCGTTAAACAAAAGGTCTTTAGTTATCAAAATCAATCGAGATGAAATTCTTAAAGCTTATGTTTTAGAGAATTTAAAAAAGAGTATGCAAAACGAGATCATTCAGTAGAGGTGGCAAATCATGATTAGGCCAAGGAGTAAAAGGATGAACCAGTTCAAGCTTGCCTTTTGATTAACGATAAGCAATCTTTGAGTGGTGCAGTGTCTTCGGATACTCCTAATATTGATCCAATGCAAGAAAATAATTAGAGCCTGATCATATGGTGAATAGTGAAGGAGGAATTATTGCTTGTAAATCTATAAAAAGAAGCTATGATGATTGTGATACGGTCCCAAATTCTTATGAAGTAACAGGAGAGCCTATCAACATTGGTAGTTGTCTAGAAATGGGTGAATATGGTAATGGTGAGAGTTAATGACACGAAGTTATTAGAAGATCGGATGAGCTTAAACTCTATGAATTTATGTGAGGAAGTTGAGAAAGCGCAAGATAAGTAATCTATTCAAAATGACGAGGATGAGCTAAAAAAGAAAGATAAAAGAGTTTGTACTTTGTAAACACTCAATTTTATTCGAATTAATTTAAATTTAATTAATCTTTTAGGCACGATATGCATGTTGAGTCAATTTAAGCATTAAATCAAATTAAATTTATTCTAATTTATATCGAATTAGTTGTTTTCAATTTAATTTTATTGCACCCACCAGATTCTTTCACCCAACCATTCCATCAGAATCCTTCACCCGTGCAATAGCCTAGAGCCCATGCCAAGTCCCATCTATAAGATCACCGACCCAGCCCTTGCCAAAACTCAAAACCATTCACAGCTTCTTCCACCGTGGCAGAATCTTCACCTACGCCTCTACACAACCCGTCCTTGCCACATCCACCTACCTAACTCCCTCCACTATAATCCCTTAACCTCCCGTAGCCACCATCGACACAAACAAAAAAACACAAATCCCTCGAAAACAAAAAAAAAAAAAAAAAACAAAACACAGTCCTCCCTAAGAGAGGAACCCAGTAGCGCCGAGCAATCCTATAAAAAAGTATAAATAAAAAAAAGTCACATACGACAAGAAAAAATTTTTTTCAAACAAAAAAATAAAGAAAAAAGGTGATAGTGGTGAGTTCCCACGGTCAATCGGCGACGGTGGAAACGGAGAGGAAGGAGAGGAGAACAACATATAAAAAATTCAAGAAAATCAGACGGTAAATAGAGGCTAAATAGGGGTCCAAAGTTTTGGCTTTTTGGCTCAGGTCTGGGGTTTCTAAGGCTGTTTTGTGGCAAACTAAGCTCGGATTTTTAATGGGAGCCAAAAAACCACTGACCGGAGGCAGCTCTGGTGACAAAGCGACGGCAGTCGTGACGGGGCTTTGTCAGAAATCGGGGCTGGGAAAGCCTTTGGTTTTTTTTTAAAGAAGAGTGGTTTTTTTTTTTTTTGTAAAAAAATGGGTTTGAAATAAGATAAAAAAAAAAAAGCATAGCTTTTATAGCTAAAAAAATAAAGAAGAAGTAAGGGAGGATCGGGTAGCTTGACCTGGACCCGTGACTCGGTTGGTGACCCAAAATGGCCCAGGCTATAACCTATTCACCTGACCCAGCCCACCCAGTCCAATCCAAGTGTGATCAGATTATCCATCAAATTGGGCTCCTCTTTTTGTTATGGATCATATTGGATTAAAGTCCAATTTAAATAAATTCAATTCACTTATTATTTATCTGTTTATTTTTTTTATGTATTTTTAATAATAAAATTAATAAATAAAAATTTTTTATGATGGGACTTTAAGAAGTTCGAGTAGTAATTCTTAAGAATTCTTTAAGTGAGAAATTTTTTTTAAAAATTATCAAAGTATTGAAATATTTAAAAGTTTTTTT